ACTGGTTTGACGGTTCCAAGCAACTAGCAGTATGAAGGCGGGGGGACTATGGCAGACCGATTGAGTTACTAGAAGCTGGTGAAGATTCTCAGTCATCCAGGACATGGTAAATTCAAAAGAGTTCAAGAAAAAACAAGAAAGTATAAAGTAAAGTGTAATAAGTGAAGTCCAGTTGTTTTTGTCTTGAACTTTTTTGAATTTGTCATTTATAGCCACGTTTACCTATTACATGATACAACAGCATGCAATACTGCTATTACTACTCTGCTGCCATCAAGTGGCTGAAAGTGGTAGTGCTCAATTTTTTTCTTCAGACAGAATAAATGAAAACGTTCATATCGCAGCCAAAAATGGTTCATAAATGTGGGAAAAAAATCCATAAATATGTTGCTTCAGCCCATAAGTCGCAGGGCATGTAAATTATACAAAAAACTGCAACTTATAGGCTGAAAAATACGGTAAGCATCTTTTTGCCTTTTCAGCTACTTTTCAGTAGTTTTTCTTTGCTAATTTCTGCTTTTTTCAGATAATTTCCACTTTTGTGCTAATTTCTGCTTCTTTCAGCCTAATTGAGCAAACATTTTCTTTCTGCTGACTTCTGCTAATTTAAGCTTGTTCTAATCTTTCAGCTACCACTTTAGTATGCTGGTGAAGATTCTCAGTTATCCAGGTCATGATAAATTCAAAAACGTTCAATACAAAAACAACTGGACTTTATTTGTAACAGAAGACGTTTCGCTTCTCATCCGAGAGTTTTCTCAATTCAAATATAACCTGAAGATAAAAATAAATATTTATATTTATCACATCTTGTTATTATTTATTATATCTTATAAAAAGTATCTTATTTATCATATTTATACAATTTTATTTATTTATTTTATTTATATTTATTCATACTTATTTATCATATCTTATAAAATTTATCTTGATATATTTATCTAAATATAACCTTTCTCAAACCAAATATAACCTTATAACTTGAACTCTGTTCTTTGAAATGAGAAACTCCTCGGATGAGAAGCAAAACGTCTTGTTACAAATTAAGTTCAGTTGTTTTTTGTATTGAACATTTTTGAATTGACCATTTTAGTATTTTTTAGCTAATTTCAGCTGTTTTCATATAAATTCAAGGTTTTTTCTGCTAGTTTCAGACTAACTAATTTATTTTTTAGTAATTCCAGCTTGTTATGCTCCTTTCAGCGTATTCTGCTCGTTTCAAATTCTTTCTGCATTTTCAGCTATTGTTTGCTAATTTCAGCCTTTTTGTTTTTTTTTAGCTAATTTCAGCTATTTTTCAGTGAATTCTTCATGAACAAGCATTCACACTGCATTTTGGCAGGAAATGCAACGTATCTAGTTTATGTGTTAGTTGTGCTGCAATGAGGAGCAGAGAGGAGACTCGTGTAGAGACGTAAGAGTGAAACCCTGAACAAAAAGTGTGCCCCGTGTGAGGCTCGAACTCACGACCTTCAGATTATGAGACTGACGCGCTGCCTACTGCGCCAACGAGGCGTGCTGCTGCCTGCAGCTGCATGCCTCTTTAAAGAGTCAGAGAGAGGCTCAGACAGCAGCGAGTGAAACCTGCTGCTCTCACGTGTCCTCCAGAAACTGAAGAACTTCCCCGTCTTTGTCTCAGTCCTCATGTTTTACATTCAGGAGGCGTGACACTTCCTTCAGGCGCTGCAGATGAACGAGGAGCTCTAACACAGTTCATTATGTTCATGGGGTTGTGCTTTTACTGGACACTGAGAGGCAAACAAGAACAGTCAGGAGCTGCAGAGGAAGTTCAAACCAGAGTTCTTCCTTTAATAAACTTGTTTTTTTTCTTTCTGTGATTCAGAAAATCAGTTTTTCCTCTTCTGTCTTTCTCAACGACTCGGCCTGACCTTTAGACTCGCCTCGGTCCCTCGGAGCAATGTTTGTTTAAGGTTCAGGGACACTGTTGGGGTCATGGGAAACTTTAAGAAAGGGCACCTAGTGGTCACTGGGAAAACAAAATGTTGATGTCATTTCGCCCACTTTGGTCGGTTACTCTTCAGCCTCTGTCCACGAGGCTCACATGGACGGTAAATTAAATCATGTTATCTCTGTGTGGATCCAACGGTCCTGATGCTCAGTTTACATCAACCTCACCGAACAGACGGAGAACAAACAATTTAAACGTTGGTTGCAGACGAAGGAGGAAAAGTCATTTTAAATGTTCAAATGAGCTTGTTGTCAAGTTTTAGAAAATATTGATATAACTTGACATAATTTCAGGTCTCTCTTGTAAATGAGTCCCTGAGGCTCAGTAACATTAACCTGTCTAAATAAAGGTTGAATGAATGAATAAGTACAGTAAACCCTCGCTACTTCGTGGCTCGACTTCGTCGGACTCGCTCTATCGCGGTTTGTGGACGTACAGTCCATAATATTGTACAAAAATAATCAAAATATTGTACAGGACACGATTGTCAACTTTAATATTACTCACATGATTGGAACAGTACTGGATACAACGCGGTACATTAAAAAGTTAACGAAAAAATAAAATACTTTAGACAGGCGCCGCCATTTTGTAGTTTTCTCTCAGTAAGCCTACACTGTATTCCCGCACATAATGACCACATTTCCCAGAAGGCAACAGGGCCCCGCCCAGAAGTCCTATTTCCTTCCGCTGAAAAAAAAAACATAGAGGTAAAGTTTTCATCTGATCGACACCCCAGAGCAGAACCAGACTTCCAGACTCATCGGTGAATCTTGAGAGCTGGTAGTCCGCCCATGTGGACCCCCAAGCAAAAGCCCATGGCCGAAGGTCTGGCGCTCCATCTGAAGCTCAACGGGACTTTTTTCATGTCTTTCAACCGGCCGACGAAAACCTCTGAGCGGGGACACGCTGGTAAGTAGAATGTAGTAGCTAAGTATGTTTTTAAGTTTGTAGGTTTAAGAGCGTAGAAAATTGATTGTGGGCTTCGTTACTGCAGGTTACATCTGCAGAAATGAAACAGAGTCGGACTGGAAATGAACCGAGAGCTGCTGCTGTTCTGCAGAGCTAGTAAGTAAAATTTAGTAGCTACATATACAACAGTGGTCCCCAACCTTTATTGCGCCATGGACCAGTTTGATGTCAGACAATCCAACATTTTTCAGTCAGTTCATCGGGACAGTTTTTTTTTCCAGATGACCTGACTGAAAATTGCTGGATTGTATACCAGGTTTATTGAGCATGGACTTTGTTGATGTCAGACAATTCTGGTGTATTTTACAAACATTTAAAAAAATTTGCTTCAAATACTCTGACTGCACGACAAACAGCTTCATGAGCTGAGATCATCGTCTGTTTTATCAGTTCGGTGAAAGTTCAGAGAACTCCTGCAGAGATTCACACATCCGATTGTTCACAAAAGCACAGGAACTTATGCCTAGTGCAAAACGTTGAATTATATTTGTGTGTTTTATAATAAAATTACCCATGACTTTGAACTTTTAGGGGCAGAGATTTTTTTGAGCAGAAGCAAAAATGTGAAGCGACAGCTCTGATACAGTGGTTAATTTGAGCCGGATCGTACCGGAACAAGATCTGGGAACTCTCTCATTTTGAACTCTCGGATCCGGCAACTCTTTTATCGGATCCAGCAACCCCGCCCCTAAAAGTTCAAAGTCATTGCGCATTTTTATTTTGATTATTTATTAAAATATACAACGAGAGGAGACGTTGCCTTTAGCCTAGTGGACCCAGTCTGTGGAGTGGATGTTCCAGCCGCAGCACGCGCGGTGCACCAACTACACGCTCCTTCGAGTAGGAGGAGGAGAGGATCCTCTAGGCAGAGGGGGTAAGGACGGAGGGTTAGGACACCTGACAGAATCGGTGCTGCTCATTCACACTCAACCTGCTGTTATTCTCCAAAATAGTAATTTTATTATGTGTTTACAAATGTAGGTAAATGCTGATGTATAACAACCCGTTAAAATACACCAAAATGCAGGAAATGGCATCTCTGTTATTCAAAATTTTCTGTGAGAGGATCCACAGACCCCCCACTTTTTTCCCCTTCTGTGCAGCCCAGTCCCCATTGACCCACGGACCAGTACCGGTCTGCGGACCGAGGATTGAGGACCACTGCTATACAGTACTGTATTTATGTTGTTAAAATGACATGGGTTTAAGAGTTTACAACATTGCAAGTGTGTGGGAAGGGTTTCTAAAGCTGTAAAATATATATAAACAATAAAATAAATATAACGTCTCTAATTTCACTTACTGTGGGTGGGTTTGGAACCAAACCCCTTCAATAAACAAGGAACTATTGTATTTTAAATCTGTGGATATTGACACTTTATCAAGCATTAGATCTGTTCTGTTTTCAGAGCTTGAGAGAAAAAGAGCGAAGATGACACATTTCTGTATTTGAATTTACTTGTGGCTAAACAGTTGATTCATTTATAAGCAAAATGTAAGATTTTAAATACGTAAATATCCTTTTAGGAAAGTATAAGTTGAGTAGTGACAGAGTTTTACTTAAGAATAGCTTTAAATAAATAATTAAATGAACGAATGAATAGGGAATCACCATAACTCCTGTATTTCTGTATTTGACTATTAACATATATATGACAACATAACAAATTCTGGCTCTTGGTTTTGGTGCCACCCCAGTATTTTCAGAGCCCTGTCTGGAGGAACACTTTCATTCTGACTGGACCAATGAGCTAACGGCTAATTCTGGTTCTGCCACAAATTTCTTCCTGTTAAAAGACAGTCGTTTCTTTCCACTGTCGCCATTGTGTGTGTAAAGGATGCTCCTGTAATCTGTCTGCCTCAGAAAGTAGAAAACCAGTCTTATTTTAAAAAAAAAAAACTTTTTTATAAATTGTAATTTTTACTTCAGCAGTATTGAAATTGGCATAAAGTGTCAAATAATTTTTGAGTTTCTAACGTTCTGACAGCCGTGCTTTAATGGACATTGGGCATAAAATCTTTTTCCTTTGATAATTTCGGGGTTCATTTTTTTACTCACTGATTGGATGAGGATGTGTCCGACAGTCTGCCTGTCGTGCCACTGGTCGACGCAGCCGGCGACCTGCTCCAGGAACTGCTCGTGGTGCTCCAGGATCTCTGGGATCTGGTAGAACATCTCATCCACCAGCAGAGGGTCCACGATGGATCCGCTGTCCGGCTGTTTCAGAGGACGCATGTATCCCTGAAGGGACAGAACGAGACCTTATTAAACGAAGGTTTCGAAGGATTATCACACAGCTCTGATGTGAAGCTCAGTTTATGTGATTACAAGCTGCTGGGAAAAGTCCAGCGAGGGTCGTGAAGTGCAGCTGAAGACTCAAAACTAAAGACTAAAGTTTACATCACGTCTGCAGATTGAGCATTTTTTTCTTTTTTTGAATGTCCAGAGGACCAGATTGAACTTTTTTGGAGTTTTCTACCTGGATTATTGAGCATGCATCAGGATATTTTTTCTTTTAGTTTTTCTGTGTGTTCCTTTAATAAAACACCTTTAACTGCGTTCGAACAGAAAAACAACACGGCTCTGGTTCTTGTCAGCTTCAACGTCACTGCTGACACGAGGCTCGGCCGGTCAGCTCTGTGGCTCGTCCACCGTCACGCATGTTTTATTTTTAGCTGTTCCTGCTGTTAGTGAGCTCTGCTGAAAAAATAAAGATCATAAAACTGAAGGTGCTCAGAACATGCAATAAAATGATGTATGTAGCGAGGAAATCTTATCTGGACTATAGAGACTGAATAGTATCAGGTCATCTGGTTTTTGATGCTTGTGTATTTAATGAATAAAACGGTTGGCGGTGCATTGAGATGTGAAATGTAGCCACAGACCTGAGATCATTATCCTGCCAAAGACTGCTCTATATGCTAACTAGAAGCAACAATACAATGGGCTAAACCAGGGGTCTGCAGCCTGTGGCTCTGGAGCCACATGCGGCTCTTTGGTCCCTGCAGCGGCTCTAAGTTTTGACCAAAACGAACATAAAACTAAAGCTTACTGGTCGTTGTACCAACAACAAGAAATGTCTAGTTTTAACAGTTTTGCAGTCATTTATTTTGCCAATATGTGAATGATAGTACTAACACGAGTAAAACTTGTTGACTACATCATGCTAGTAGTTTGTTAGCCACTTCTTTTTGCTCACTTCCAGTCTTAAGGTGGGATCTTTTTCTCAAATCCACCAAATGTTTTGAGGAATACCTTTAAGGCAAGCTGCTGAGAAGAAATATGGTTAGTCAACTTGATAACAATAAAAATTAAAGAAAACAAAACAAAGTTAAAGTAAATGGAAATATTTATTTTCGTTTTAAAATTCAATTATGTATCTGATAAACTGGCCTCATTTTTTACTTTATGCTTTATTACTTCATAATAGGATACTTTATGAATTGTTTCCACAATTAAAACGAAAACTCACATAAGACTGTGTTGTGTTTTCCACCGTACACATCGCACCTCCCTATAAGTCGCATCAGTTCAAATATGTCTAATAAAGTGGAAAAATACATAAATATGTCGCTTCGCTGTATAAGTTGCATCTATTATGTGTCACCGCTGATCACCCGGAAGTGTGGTCCGGTGTTGTGCCATAAATTGATTGACTGCCAAATTGCGGCCGTGGCAGCCTGCACGTGGGCACTTTAACAAGAATTTAACAAGATTAACACTTAAAAACTATTATTTGTTTGCTTGAAATTATAGTAAAGTTGTGTCTATGTCTAACTTTTGCTTAATAAAAGCACTTTGATGGTCAAATCAGCTGCACTTCAAAATTATTCACTGCCTCAGTGCTCCAGGAGCGCACAGACAGGGAGGAAATCATAAAGGAGGAATGCTGCGCATTTCTTCAAAATTTAACAAGATAAGCACCTAAAACAATTATTTGTTAGCTCAACTTTATAGTAAAGGTGTGTCTCAGTTGAACTTTTACTTAATAAATGCACTTTAATGTTCAAATCAGCTGCATTTCTCTGGGGCGGTGCAGTGAAATGAAGCCACTTTTACCCATTATATGACATATCGGCATACCATACTGCTCGAGTGCCATCTAGAAGATGAAAATGATAGTGTTCCAATATTCTCAGTCAGAATATATTAAAACGGTCATATCTCAGCCAAAAATTGGTTTAAATATGGTAAAAATCCAAAAATATGTTGCTTTGGCGTATATGTTGCAGGGCATGCAACTTATGCAAAAAATTGTGACTGTAGGAATTGTGGTTTTGTCCATGGTGTTGTGTTCATGTCTGTGTTTTCCTGATCCTCTGTTTATGTCTCTACAGGGTTTGTGTTTCTTTGACTAGCCCCATCTTGTGTCGTGTTTATGTCCTGCGTCTTCAGTCTCTGTCTCCTGGCATCTGTGATCACTCACAGGTGCCTTCACTTTGTCTGATTGGTGTTTCTCTCTATACAAGTCTGTGTCTTTGTGTTAGTCTTTGTCCTAGCATTGTCTACTGCTCACTGTTGATGACTTGTCTGTTTTGTAAGTACCACCTGACCATCCTTGTTTGTTTTTGCTGCCCTGTCAGCTCTTTTGTTTTAATAAATCTTTTATTTTTATATATGAAGCCTGAGTCCTCGCCTGCTTGCCTGCACAACTTGGTTCACCAGCACCAATCGTGAGTGATGTATACAACGAAAAATATGGTAATACAAATCAGACATTTACTTATGGTGCATTCACAGACCAGAGAGGTGTGAATCGGACATTGGTTACCCACCAAGCTGATAAAAAGCACCAAAATTGTAGACAGGAAGTAGCTCTCCAATGACTGTATGTTCTACAGTCAAGCTCAAAGAGTTGGTTCACATCAAAAATAGTTTTTTTTTTTTTTTAATTGTTGGATTGTATACCCGGATTATTGAGCATGGACTATTTTTGGTTTTGAACCAGTTTGGCACGACTGTCGACGAGGAAGAGGGCTGGCACAAGAGGAGGGGGCGTGCCAAAGACACCATCTTAGCACCAACATAACTGGTTTGTTCCACTTTGGAGTAAGCTGTTTGGGGGAAGAATCAGTTTTGTGTTGTGTGTTTCCTTGACTGATGAAGCCTTCTGGATAGAAGGTGAAATGTTTCAGAAAAAAAAAGAAACTGTCCAGATGACCTGACTGAAAATTGTTGAGTTGGTTCACATGTTTTGAGGTGGGAATCTGTGAAAAAGGTATAAATAACCACCTACTCACCTGCTGCAGATAGGTTGTTGAGTGACCTCAGTTAAGAGAGTTGGCCTGATAGATGAGCTAAAGGCTAGTTAGAGTGGTGGACTGATGACATCTCTAAGAGCTCCAGTCTCAAAAGACTTCTTAGTGGTTCTTGTCTAAACCTTAAAACTGCTGTCAGTTTAACATCATGCTTTGTTTACACCGAAAAAACTTTTACCCAGAGCCCATCTACAACAAGTAAGATATTTATTGCTATTTAGTGCTATTTAAGAGACTGAGCTGAATACAGCACCTCAGACTGAGGAAGTCTCTCGGATGAGAGATGAAACGTTTCTACATTTTTTTGTTGTTTTGTTTTTTTGAATGTCCAGAGGACCAGATTTAACTTTTTTAGATAAGATATTTATTATCTATCATCGCTCTACAAACCTATCCTAGACCTCCTCACCAGCCCTTCGAGAACCAAACAGCTATAATTCATGTCAGAGCAGACTCCGTCCAGTCAAATTAAAGCTTTTGCTTCAAACCATTTATTTTTTCACAGAGTCTCCTGAAGAAAAACTAAACTCGGGAGCGTCAGACTTCAGCGCCGCGCCGCCACAGCTGCCACAGCTGCCACAGCCGAACCACACGTCCTCTGAAAGCCCTCCCCCCCTTCGAGGATGTGAGCTCCCCCTGCAGTCACCATGGTAACACGTCCCTCGTGTCGTCATGGGAACACAGCCTGGGATTATTCACTTTGTGGCCACATGCACGACACAGAAACAAGCAGGGGTGCACGTAGGATGTATGCACGCATGCACGCACACAAACCACAGACACACACACCCTCGCTGACAGGTTACACAACACGGCACTCCTGGGCAGAAAACGATGAGACGGGATGAAGCAAAGATCTGGGGTAAAGGTTAGTTAGCTAATAGAGCAGGTACAGCTGAGTGTGCGCGTGCATGTGCATGTGCATGTATCAGATAATGCTGATGACAGTGGGATGTGATAAAGTGAGCAGATTAGCCCGGCAGGATGAAAGGCAATAAGCTGATTACATAACACCCTTTGTTACGTTTGTTATGCCTCAGCACAACCGTTCTTAGCTTTTGCTCCAGCAAACGCTCCTGAGTTTACAGGACCGGAAGTGTCAGCTCATCAACGGAGTGGCTCACACCTGCGCGAGCACGTGTGTGTGTGTGTGTTTACCTGAATTAGAGTGCGCAGCGATTCCACATATGACTGCTCCGTGTCCAGCAGAGTCATCATCACATGTTTTCTCATGTCCTACGAAGGAAAAGATGAAGGACAATTAATGGAGTTGTACTTTTTGAACAAACACAACGAATGCTGCTTTAAAGAAATCACCACTTTAGCGTGGCTGAACTGAATGTTTCAGTTCTATTAAAGCGTCATAATACTCTATTATTACTACTATTATTCTACTACTATTATAATTACTATTATTATCTATTACAGTATTACTATTCAATATTTTATAGACTATTTTAGAGGGGAAAAATGATAATACATTTAAATTCACAGGTAACACCACACACACACACACACACACACACATATAGAAGCAGGACCAGAAATGCCACATCAGCATAACATGACTCAGCTGTCCACCCCAACAATGACTCATGAAATACAGACACAATAAGAACAACCTGCTCAAATGCATTAAAAAAAAACAAAAAAAACGAACGAAAAAGGAAAATAATGAGAAACAAACTGTACGATGTTTCTCGTTGCTGAAGTATTTGAATAGTTAATGTTTGTAGTTTTTGAGATGAGTGTTTTTCTGGACTAGAATTGAGCAGTGAATGCAAGTAAACCTTAATGTTTGTTGTGCAAAATATTCACAGGAGTTCTAATGTGCATAAAACTAGAGGTAGGTTTATTGTTGTTTTTGTCCAAGAAGATGCAGAGTGACGGATCTTGGCTAGCAAAGGGAGAAACTTTATCCACTACCAGGAGCAGAGGTAGAGCCAGGGGGTGGCCAATGGTGGCCTTGACCGCCACAAATTAATTGCCAGCCACCAGCCAAATGGAAAACTATACTTTTAAGCAATATATATATATATATATATATATATATATATATATGTGTGTGTGTGTATGTATGTGTGTGTGTAGCTGAGAGTCACCTCCATCCCATACTCTGAGCATTGCCAGATGGAGCGAGACCTTAATAGGGGTGCACCAATCACAGTTTTCTGGACGATCTCCGATCACCAATGTCTAAAAAGTCTGACCTGCCCATTGCAATTTTGGACGATACGATTTTGTTTTTATAAACGACACGTCAGGTGGTATAAGGTCACAATGCACCTTTAATTTTCCAGTATTATTTTATTGAAAAACATACTCTTGAACAATATCCTCGAAATAATACAAACTTGTTTTAACTGGCCATGAGGTAGTGCTCTGAACTATAAATGAAGTTCAGACAATTGTTGTTAAAACAAAAAAAAAAATCGGTAAAATCGTTTTTTCATGCAAGTATCAGTCGATTTCCAATTTTCAAAAATTAAGGAAATCGGGGCTGATTTATCTGTGCACCCCTACTTAATAATAAAAGTTTAAAAACAATTATTATTATTTCTCTTTACGTAATTTTATATCAGTTTATTTTTTCATCCATAAGTTACAGACAGAAACACAGAAGCAGATTTTCATGGCTCTGTGTGATTTAAACTCTAATGTGTGCGGTTTGTTTAAAGCTTAGTCCAGACAGGTTGCATCTTTATGGTTTTACATGACACGAGTTGAAAGAAGGAACTTTTGTAAAAAAAAAAACAATAGCATTGTTATTTAAATGAGACCCACTCAAACCTAGGTCACTGTTCCATCAGCCCTGGTCTAAACTGCACTAATGCTACAAACACGGTTACATTCCTGTAAAGTACGTCTTATTACTCATGAGGAGCCGTTAAGGTTTTTGTCTGGAGACAGGAACATGATTAGTACGTAGACCAGCACAAAAAAGCATTTAAGCATCATGGAACATGTCAGATGTATTATCAGGGAGCCTCAGGGGGGATTCCAAAAATATTCTGGTACCAAACAGGACATAAACATCAGCAGGAGACCCTGCGGTGCATTAAAACATAACGACCCACAAAAACACACAGGAGGTGTTTTTTTTTCCTGCCTTTGCTTTGCCAGCAGCACCCTGCCCTATAAATAACTGGAACATTAACTCCCCAGAAAGGCCAAGTTTGGTGTTCAGCATGTGAAGAGACCCCAGCGGTGCAGCAGGGTACCACCGCAGGGTGAAGGAACGGTGGCGGTGGATGGGAGGAATGTGTGTCCACGTGGGTGCAAGAGGGGACGGTGAGCAAAAAGACTTTAGACAACACAACAATGTACAGTGAGGTCATCTAGACGGTTTCTTTCTGTTACTGAGACATTTCGTCCATCATCCAAAGGACTTCTTCAGTCCGAGGAGCCACAAACAAACTGGAGTCCAACAAGCACCAACTCCCATAGTGGATAAAATCAGTTTGCTGGTGATAAGATGGCTTCTGGGACCCGCCCTCTCCCCCGTCAACTCCTCTGAGGCAGTCATGCCAAAATGGTTCAAAACACCAAAGTTAATGCGCAATAATCCAGGTACAATTCCAACAATGTTCAGTCAGGTCATCTGGATGGTTTCTTTATTTTGCTGAGACGTGTCATTCTTCATCCAAAGGACTTTTTCAGTCAGAGAAGCCACAAACAAACTGCAGTACCACAAATACCACACTCTCGTGGTGGTAAAAAACAAAAACCAGTTTGCTGGTATTTTGAACCATTTTAGCATGACTGCCTCAGAGGAGTTGACGGGAGAGAGGGCGGGCCACAGAAAATCGTATCACTAGCAAGCCGTTTTTTTTCCACTATGGGAGTTTGGTATTTGTGGTACTGCAGCTTGTTTGTGGCTTCTCTGACTGAAGAAGTCCTTTGGATGAAGGACAAAACGTCTCAACAAAATAAAGAAACGGTCCAGATGACCCGACTGAACATTGCTGGGTTTGTACCTGGATTGTTGAGCATGGACTCTGGTGTTTAGACAACACAGTGCACAAAACGTACGTTTACGTCAAGGCCAACAATGATTTTGATCTTTAAAATGTGTTTAGCTCAATGCTTCTTAATAAAATTAAATGTTCTGTTCAGGTTTACTCGAGCCTGATGTCCAAAAGCAACACACTGGATGAGAGCCCAACAACGAGGCGACACAAAGCAGCAGAGGAGCAGACGACACGCAGCAAACATTTGTGTCATCTAATTAAGCTCCACTTCCTGTTAGTGCACGTAGGGACTCTGCTGCTGTGTCTGAATAAGTTCTGCTCATACAGAACATTCCTGCCATGACTTCTGGTATTTGTACAACTTTTACTTTTTGAAATATTTAGTTTTTCAGCCATGTTTTTCTGATTGACAATAAATGGAGCTCTCTACATCACATCTCAGTTTTTGTTCAGCTCCTTTCAGCTGATTTCTGCTGTTTTTCAATGTTTACAGCTGCTTTTAGGTATTTTCAGCCAATTCCCTCTTTTTGTGATTCTTTTTAATGATTTCAACTTGATGATATTTTTCAGCTTTTCTGCTCAATTTTCCTATTTTACTGCTTTAGTCAACTTTTTCTACACATTTCTGCATTTTTTCTTTCCTGCTTCTAGCAAATGCCAGCTGCTCAAATTCAACTCGGGTTAACAGTTTAGCGGTGAATCTAATAAGCGTTCATTGCATTTTCAAAGGAAATGCAGTTTTTCTAGTTACACCCATCGGATGCTGTCGGTTTCTCATGTTTAACATTGATTCTCCCTAAAGGATGCAGTCAGCGTTTCTTTCAATCTCAGATTTTGATGGTCTTTTAATAACGTGTTGTAACAAAGACCATCACTTTCTCCAACGCATACCTCCTCAGGCCCGTGCAGAAACATGTGGCGCGTTCAGAGCACACGTTTCG